GTATTGTGTTTCTTAATGAAATTTTATGATACTATAAATTTTAAAGTGTACTTAAAATAAACTGATGCGAGCCAGTTTATTTTGATTACATTATAAAATTATAAGGTGACAAAAAAAAAAAAAAATGTAGTGCTCTCGTTTTTTTTTTTTTTTTTTTTTTGGAGACCCCTATTCTTCGCTTTTTTTCTTTTCTCCCTTTCTTTGCATTATAACTCGTAGCGCCATCAAGTGACAGTAATGTGAAAAAACACTTTACGCTGAAAGATCAAAATGTAATCAATAATAATTTTCAGGCAAGGACCTGTACGTATTTGGAGGAATACGTTCCAAGGAATTCAAGGCCACCGATGCGGTGGAGGTGTTTAATACAAGCACAAACACCTCTCGAACGGGCATCAGTTTGCCCGCATCCGTTACAGGGTCTTCTGCTCTGTTCTTGGCGAAACAATCATCCGTAAGTTCGTAAATCGAAATTTCAAACATAAATTTTTCTAACTTAAAATAACATTCTAGTAATTTAGATTCGCACGTATTTTAAAAGTACCTTTTATAATTCTTATCTTAAGAATAATACGGAATGTCTTTTCTTTATTAAGACCTTTTTGTCTCTTAATAAAAGGAAACCTTAAAATTTTTTTACTTGATTTGATAACGTATGTCAATTTTTTTTTAAATAATGTTGGTTTTGAGGATATTTTTCCAGTAATAATCAATATTTTCATTACGATGTAATTCATATATACGTTAGATTATTTGATTATACTTGGTAAATAATTCTCTCCTTTTTCTTGACGGTAATCTTCCTTGATCCCCTTTTAATAATGTTTATAGCTTTAGAAGTTTATATATTTAACAAATATAGAAAAATTAGATATACGTATATTCGTACTTTGTGAAAACTCTTTTGTTCAGGAAATTAAATAAATGGCATTTCATTTGAAAACTTATATGAAGCACGTGTTCTTCATTATTTATATAAATCAATCCCTCTATTGTTATTGAAATATAACAGTCCTTCATCTTATATTTTCTACTGCCTATACAATTATTATTTCTCTATATAGTTAATATGAATCGTATGAATTTTTTTTTTGGCTGGTTGATTGTGATGGTTGGGGGAGATTAAAGCTTCTTTTCTGTGGGTCCTCTCATGAGCTCCAGTCAACTGAACCAGAAAGGACATCCGGTTCAGTTGAGAATCCATCCGGGACAATTATTAATTCTGTTACAGCTTCCTAGGTGACTCTGATTTACTAATGTTAGAAGCAACAAGAATATTGGCGATATATCTCGTAATTTTGAATCTTGGTCATATGACAAGGCTGGCAAGAGCTGAACTCTCTCTCCAAAATTCTACGTAACGCCAGTGAGGTGGGGAACTTCGACACATTTAACGTGCATCAGTTCCGCTACACAGTGATTCTACTGTAGCATAAGGCTTGAATCATCCATTCGATGGAAACAACGCCGTCTGCGAGTTCGTGACCCTGGGCACCAGACGAAAGCGGCCACACGATTCCTGGGAGAGGAGCTTCCGCAGTTTTACGTTTAAACATATTCCATACTTATTTAAGTGTTTTAAAGTTCCTGTCTACCTGTCATTTTGATTTCGTTAACGCAGTGTTAGGGAATTTCTACACTGCTCGCAAGATGTTTTCGCACACCTAGAATTTTTAAATAAAATATATTAGAAGTGTAATATTTGTTTTGTATTCGATAATATTAGTCATAATACAAATCTATTAACCTAATAAAACATAGAAAATCCTTTAAGCAATATGTCAATTACAAGATTTTGCAATGCACCATTAAAAAGAAAAAAGCAACATCCCTTCTTATACAAAAAGTTTTAATACATGCATAACTGCATAGTTAAAATTGTAAGTAATGTTTAATATTTCATCCCCCCATCCCTTTATTCTCTTTCATGTGTAAAAGCTTTGAGCTCATACTGTTGAACAGATTTCGAATATTGCCCTTGTCATTCGGTTCGACTTGTTTTACAGCTTGTTGAACCTATAGGCACGGTGGTTCATTCTCATCAAACAATCCATTTTCATAAAAAGATGGCAGAAAGCATCTTCGATTAAGTTTTCAATTATATTCAAGAAAGGAATGCAAAATAGCTAAGGTAAAATGACCATCAAGCTCATTCTCAAAGATGTTCTTAGTATAACGGGCAGTGTGGACAGTGTAATGAAATCTTGATGAAGAACACCTCTCTTCAAAGAATTCCTCATCCAAGACAAGGCTTTACCCAACAAGAAAATGATGTATACCTCAGCTGTAAACAGATCCTGTTATCCAACATATTTCGGTTATATGTCATTCTTACCCAGATAAGATTATCTCCATACGACCAAAAACACTTTTCTTACCCTTTTCCTCCCTGTAGGGCATCTCTTTACCAGAACCTTCCCTTTTTCATCAGTTCCGTTTATCATCAGTAAACACCCTATCATTCCATTGATGTGGTTATTTCTTATCCAATTCCTTGCGAGATTCACTCAAATTTCTTTATGAGAGTTTGCCAAGGGCAAATATTCTTCCACTGGTTTGTAACGAATGCTTCAATTCGCATTAAATGGAGCGAATCGACAAGTTCATGTTGATCTTGTCAAGGGCTTTACGAGCGATAGCTGGAGTTTAAAGATGTATGCATTTTTGAAGAGCTTCTCGCCTTATTTGAGCGAAAGCTTTCACTGTTACCTTTCTCTTACGTACTGTTTTCTTTTTTCTGTCATAGTCATTCTTGACCATATATATTGTGAAGTAGATTAGGTAAAGACAGGTCATTTGCCATTTTTTGACTACAGTTTCCTTCAGCTTGTTTCTTCTTTGCCTTTTCGGAGCTATGGTAGCTTAGTGGAAAAGATCGCGGATCGGCGTTGTTTTCATCGAATCGTGAGTTGGAGTCCAGGTGTCACTAAAGACCCATCTAGAAATGGGTTACGCAAATCTGGTCGAGATCCTAAGTTCTCCCGAGGGCCTGGTGTAGAAATCTGATGGAGGTGCCAGCTCAGGTGTCGTCCTCGTCACTTGACCCAGCCTCCAAATTACGAGGTCTGTCGTCTAAATCTATCTTGCTATTTCTCACTTATAGTACAAATGGTATACAAAATAGAATTTTGCGATTAAAATTTGTATAATCCAGTTAAAATTATTAGTATTTTGGTTGAAGTTTTAAGGAGAATATTTTTTCATTAATATTTCTTACTCACATTACACGTGTCTTTTAAATCAGTTCTTCATATTGTGTTTCCGTTCTTTTGATATTTATAATTTTAGTACACCAAAAATGTCGAGAACAGTGTGCTTTCATCCTCAAATTTAGACTCTTTTATTGTTTGAATACAAAACGTACGCCCAATTTTTAAAAATATTTTCAAGTCTATTTTAATTATTTGCTTGTAGGCTTTTCGATCTTTAAAAATATTTTTAAATATTTCCAAAAATCGAAGAGAAGATATAACTCAGCAGAAATCTTTATTATTTTTTGCTCTTGAGGATATACTTTTTTGAATTCAAATAGATAAAATAGTTTACCTTTCAAAAGAAAACCGCAGGATGAACACGACGTTCAGGAAATCAAAATGATGAATAATGTGTGAGAGCCTTGAATTCCTTTCTATGTGGAATTATCGTGTAGCTTTAATTATTACTAAGAAATGACTGAGATAGTTATCTGGATAAAACTTTTTTTGCTCATTCACTGATGATGTTGTACATTACAGTTATTCATGCTGATTTGTTTGGTTTCAGGAACCCGTAGATTGAAGTAACCATCGGTATTGTAAAGTTTTAATTATTACTAAAAACAATCAAGGTATAAAATTAATTTTTATTTGTTATTCTTAATATTTTTCTATATATTCAGAATTATTGATTTCTCTTTGTGTTTCTTGACCTTTCGAAGTCTGCGTCGCTGTAGAACTCAACAGTTTGAACTCTTATCTTCCTCCTACTGCAGATTATTTCAGTCTACAGCTTCTTGAAACCAAACAAAAAAATCATGAGTATAGCTGTCATTGACAACATTATCTACATAAGGACCGTAGGTTATTTCTTAATAATAAATAAGCGTTTATGAGGCTCCCTCTAACTTTTTTCATTTCCCTCAGTATACTTCATGTCAATATTTAGGTATTCGGGTCTTTTCTGAATCAAAAGTTTATATTAAATTTTTTATCGGGTTGAAGGAGTCATAAAAGTTCGCCCGTGCTCCCTGCTGACTTTATGACCAATGAGATTCCTCCATTCAATGCAGGAGAACGGAAGGAGAGTGAAAACTTTCATCCATCCGAGTGACGTTGCTCCAAAACGTTTCGATTTCGAGATATTTGAAGTGAGTCCACAATCTGTTGGGATCCCTCACGAAACAGCCGCAATCGAATTCGAAGAGAGTTTACATCCGCAGTCGAAATCGATACGTGAGATTCGCCATTCCGAGCCACCCTCCGTAGAAAATTTTGTTCTCTTGGCGCCTCGGGAGGAAAAAGTGTCGCATCATCGAAGCATCGGAGAATCACCTCACACTTATTATTTCGGTAAGAGAAAAATTTATTAGTACATATTTTACTGCCCTCTTGAATATTCTTTCTTTATTACCGTCAGAAGTTCTTACGAAAACCCTTGCTCGTTGACGTTCGCTTATAATGAATCGGTCGTTTCAAAAACCACATATGCCAAGTGTTTTTCCAACGTGGTTTTTTTTTTTTTTTTTGTCCTGTACCCGTTGAAGGCTCTTTAAAGATTTTCAAATTATCTCAAGCGGCCTTTAATTGGAGAAGGCAGTTGACTCTTCTGTAAAACGGAGGAATAAAAATCGTAAACTCGAAAAATCGTTACAGAGGGTGTACCTGCTTTCCCGTGGTCTGTGGGAGATTCGTTTGTTGCGGCCTAGGCTTGAAAGTGCACCGCTTGAAGGCGCTCTTCCCGATTGATTGGAAAGCTCAATGAAATCTAGAACGAATAAGGACCCTATTAGGTAAGAAATGATAACTCTGAGCAGCGTATTACTCTGCTCACGGGTCGATGAAGAAAGCATGCAGTAGCGAGATTTAGTGTCAATTGCAGAACACATCGAGAACGAATTTCTCGAACGCACATAGTGGCTTAGGGTCGTACTCGGAGCCTCGATTATCTGAAGATCAGATGAGATTTGTTCAGGAATCAAACATTCTCCCTATGGTGGGAAATTTCCATTTGGCCTTACCGGAGCATGTCCGCAGGTTAAGTACGCAGACGAATTTTCCCCGAGGCTAGAGCTCCTATCTATAGTAAATTCATTGACTGCGTATGCCAAGTTGCTATCCTAGTGGAAGAGATGGTTGGAGGCTCCAAAGAATCGGCAGTAGTTTCTCAAGAAAGAAAAACTCCTTTTTCTCTTGATTTTATACTTAAGATCAGGCAAAATTACTCTTTGAATTCAAGCAAATTAAGTAGATCCACAATCTGGGTGAAAACCAAATAAATCACGCGCGACATTCCTTCCTGTTCAGACAATATAGTGTTGGCCTTACCGGAGCATGTCCGCAGGTTAAATACGCAGACGAATTTCCCCCGAGGGGCTCAAACAATATAGTGTTGGAATTTATAGATGGAATCGTTAAAGATTCATTTATGTACACAAAAAAACTCTCATCTCTCTTGTCACTTCCAAAGCCATCGAAAGTGTCAATGAACAGTAAAAAATTAGACGATTCAAAGCGAGCTCGGAATTGCATTCTGCAAGAGCATGTGCTATTCTATCGAAACCTGGCCAACTGCAGAAGTTGAAGATAACCCAGATGAGAATGATGGGGAATAGGATTATGTACCTTAACAAAAGAAAAACATGAAAATTTTCATGTTTAAGTGATATTTTCATTCATTTTGAATAAAACCCTGATTAATAAAATTGTTTCATTTAAATACCTTTAATTCTCTCTCTCTCTCTCTCTCTCTCTCTCTCTTTTTGCTAAAACAAGTCAAAGGTAGTTTTTAGAGTTTTTAAAAATTTTTATTTTCAAGAATTTTTTTTCAAAGAAATTTTTATTTCAATCCCTTATTCCCCTGGTGAAGTAACCACTAGCGTATTGTACATGCCATGAACTGGATCCTCTGGTTGAATGGAAGCAAGCATTGGCTGGAAATAATTATGTTCAACTTTATTGAAACCATTTGCTGCCATTCATAGACTTCATGTACCTTGTCAAAGTTGAAATTTCCTCGAATAACGATGCGTATCATCACTAGACCAAATTCATTCGCCATTGGTATGAGAAACATTCTGGACAATTCCTGCGAATGATTTGGTCATCTGCTTATTCAGATATGAATCCCATCGAACATATATGGGAAACTATCGAAAAGTTAATTCAGCATATAATCCTGTATTGGGAAATCTTGGACAGTTGTAAAGGCCGCATACTTTAGTATTTCTCCAGGAAGCTTCCGACGACTTGTTGAGTCAATAACACGTGGATTTTCTGCACTTCGCCGGGAAGAAGGGGATCCCACACAATATTAGGATTCCCATGGTTTTTAGCATTTCAATTCAGTGAATGATTTTGCAATTAATCCAAAAACTTTACAACATTGCAACATTTAAAAAAAATATTTGGTTGTGTAATTTTTAGTTAACAGAAAACAAAAATTTAAATAATTTTGAGTGAAGAATTTTAATGTATGAAACTATCTTTTTTAATATGAAAATAAAAATGCATAATTTGTTAAATGGATTTTTTAATTAAAATAATCCTTTAATTTTATTATTTTTCTTCATTTCTATTTACATTTTTCTCTTAATACGAAGGCACCAGTTTAAAATAAAGTAGGCTGTCTCAATAGAATTCATTTTAAAATAAGCAACTCCTGCTTATTAAGCTACGCTTACTGGATAACAATTATTTTAAGAGCATGACTTTATACATTAGTATACATATATAATACAACATGTATACATATATAATAAAAGATGGATACATGTTTAATACAATGTATAATGCAGTTTATAATGCATGACAGAACACCCCCTAGCGGCTAGTGAAAAAAAAGCGCGATACGCATCAAAGTCGAGCTAATAATAAGGAGCCATCCATATTGAATTTATTTCATCCATTTGAAACTCTTTTCATTAAACTCTTACTTGTAGTTTTCTAATGTCACAATTGAACAATCGTGTATTTAATAGATAAATATCATCAATTTAAATATTATAAGTTCTTGTATTACATTTAGGATGAGTATATCGACCCACAATTTCAAGTATGCTCATACAAAGTTATTTCCAATTCAAAAGCCATTTCGAAACGATTCTTTGTGTCAAAATTTATTTTATATGTCTCACGTCTTTTTTTTTCCAGCATTGAATAGATCCTAAAACCTTTTAGTCTAACAAATGCAGATGGGAATCGAATATACCTCGATTGTTTTCTTCTTCTAAAATTTCTTTTTTAAAACAGATCCCCTACCGAAAGAAAATATGAAAATGATTGAAGAACAAACATTTGATCTTTCGCCTCAATCTCACGTCACGTATTTCTCCAATGAGCCAACCAATATAACAATGGAAAATAATTTTTTCCTAAGCAACAGACATTCTGCCGAAAAAGAAATTGGTATCCACAGTCACCAAATCAAAACGTCTGCGAAGACAACCAACAAATTTGCAGAAGAGGAGGAACGATGCTTTAAGCCCCACCCATGTTCCTCCAGCTCTCGAGCCCAACGTGAAACCATGAAAGACCATTACGGTAACCGCTATGTCACGACTCTTGAGGTTCCTCTGCTAGCCAATGGAGTGAAGACAGAGCATGATCTAAGCGATTTCCGACAAATGAAAACAGAAATAATCTTAGAGGGAAGAAAATGGAAGCCAGTCACTACACGTCTGACCGTCTCTAGCTTAGGATCTGATGAGGTAAACTACTTTTTTCTAAGAAAAATCATTTTAAGTGCTCGACGTAGGAAAAACTCCATTTGTAATTTAAGAAGGGATATCGTAAAATTTTAATTATTTGTAAAAAATAACGGAGATATATATTTGGGTAAAATAAATTTATCCTGCATATATATATGTGTGTGTGCACAATGTTTTAAATACAGTTATTCAGTCCCTACAAGAATATTATTCAGGTGAATTAGTATTTGAAACGGCATCCTAATACCTGTCTCGTCTATCATCTTTAATGCTGTTTCAGTCATAAAATATAAATTTTAATTTTAATTTAAGTAAATAAAATAAACAATACTCTCTCTCGCTACCTACCTATCTATCTAGAATATATGTTTATTAACTCCTCTAATAAGGGATCAGCTCTCGAACAGTTTACTTTCCTTATCCGCGAGGTCTTACATGTTCTATGATTTATCAAAGAATACACTTACCGGAATGTGATGCGAGTGCTTCCTATAATTGCTCCGACAGCGTTTAGTTCCATAGCATTGAATCAGCTATACATGACAGAATACAGCACATCACACTAACACTTTTCTCATAAACATAAATTTAATTATTTTCAATTCAATTATCTGTCTTTTTTATACAACTTAGTTATATCTATTCTCTCTACTTCCAAATTTTACTTAATTTACATCATGTTCTATATGATTGAGAAGAAGCTGGGAACTTAAATATAAAATTAGAAAGAAATTCCAGACGTTAATTGAAGAGAATATAATCTAGAGTAGTACTTGTTACATGTTCAATGTTTAAATTTAATTTTGTGGTTCATACAAAGTGACGAAATTTTTTGTCGAATACTTACGTCGTCTACACAAATTCAGAATGTGCATAAACACATTAAATACAGGATTTAATCGTTTAATTTTTTTTTTTTATCTAAAGTGATTTATCTTTGATATCTCCTTTCAAATTATTTTTATACTCAGTTATTTAGCATGACCTGGGTTCCGGCTAACTGTAAAATATGATTAATTAGGCTAATTATGTAATGTAAATAATTATGTAAGCGCGTGAGGTTCCTTGTGGTTCTTATTGCGTCATTTTGTGTCAGTTAATTCTGTTGTATCGATTTTACTTCTTCCACTTCCCTTCTTCAAATGTTATCCAAAAAGTCATTAACTGAGGAGAACTGAGTATTTTATGGTTTCTTTTATCAACTGAGGTAGAGAGTAGAGATGTCAGATTAGATTAAGGAGAAATTAATTAGGCTAACACCGCATTTAGCATATTTTTTTTAGTGAAAGAACAATTAAATTTTAATCGGAATTCTTATAAATGAATTCTCGTGCGAACTTTGAACACTTTTCACTGAAAATTATCGTTATTGACTGTTTATGAACATTGTATAAAAGCAACATGAGGGCTATTGACAACAGTTTTGAAAATAATCTAATTCAAAGCTCGCGATGTCTATACAAATAAGATTCCAGTGGTAAAACTGATGTAAAGTGTATTTTAGTCACATCTCAAATTTTTTTCATTAATTGTTAAAAGATACTTTAAGCTTTGCTATTTTGTTAAGTTTTTAAAAATGGCTCAGCAATTTTTTTTTTTTTTTTTGCTTCAGTTAAAAAACCCCAATCCAGTATATTTAGTTTATTCATATTGGTGGATGTGTCTGAATCAGGTCTATCATATTGTTTCAATTACTTTAGCGCACCCTTACTGTACTGTATAAACTTAGCTTTTTTTTTTAAAAAAAAATACGTATATTCACCTCATAGCACCAAACAATAATTTAAATTATATATATTTTCCTTTTAAATTTAAATATGTACATAGAGAAAATGTTATTTTCGAAAAAACTTCTGCAAAAGTTACTTACTAAAAATATTGCGATTATATAATGCAAAAATAATATGAATTCTATAGAATTAAAAAGATCTAAATGCTTATTGAAAAACTGTACCAGGTCAACCTTTTATCTCTTTTAATTCTCCCAACTATTTTTATAATATTGCTTGCAGTCATTCTTCTAAGAATTGCAAGTATTCTTATCCAGTTTCCTTCTATTTTTAGCAGGAGCACCGATGTTTTAAGTTATACTCGCCACCTCCGAAATGGAAGCAAAGGTAAATATCTTACTTAATCTAATTCTGCATTTCACAGGAACTGTTTCTTCCCCTCGTAAAATCAGCGAAACTCCAACTGTTTGTTCCTGAACTCGAATACACTACAAGCTTATT